GGGATACAAGGTTGGTTCAATATTTGCAAATCAATTAACATGATATATTACATAAACCAAATGAAGGATAAAAATCATTAATCTTATCAAAATATGAGGAAAAAGCATTGAAAAAACCTAGCATTCATTTATAATAAAAATTAGCGAAGTGGGAATAGAGGGAATAGTATAGGCTACATATGCCAAACCTACAGCTAACATCATACTCAGTGATGAAAAGCTAAACTTGTTTTCTTTAAGATCATGAACAAGACAAGAATGTCCACTTTTATAGCACTTGTTCAACATAGTATTAGAGGTCCTAGCCAGAGCAATCAGACCAAAAAAAAAAAAAAAAGAAAAAAGAAAGAAAGACATAAAAGGCATTCAAATGGAGAGGAAGAAGAAATGATACTAAACTACATATAGAAAGCCCCAAAGATTCTACCAAAAGAATAGAATGGATAAATGAATTCAGTAATATAGCAGGATACAAAATTAGTTTTCAGACATCAGCTGCATTTTTATACATCAATAGCTAACTATCAGAAAGAGAAATTAAGAAAACAATTTCTGCCCTAGCCAGTGTGGTTTTGTTAGTTGGAGCATCTTTCATCACATAAGCTGACAGGTCGCAGGTTTGACTCCCAGTCAGGGCACATACCTGGGTTGCAAGTTTGGTCCATAGTGGGGACATGTGTGAGAGACAGTTGATTGATGTTTCTCCCTCACAACTATGTTTCTCTCCCTCTCTCCCTCCTTTCCCTCTCTCTAAAATCAATAAGCATGTCTTCAGGTGAGAAAAAAAAATGTTTTTAAAGAAAGAAAACAATCCCATTTACAATACCACTAAAAATCTAAAATACCTAGGAATAAGTTTAACCAAGGATGTAAAAGACTCTACTCTAGTGAAATAAGACAGTCACAGAGGAACAAATACTGCATGATCCCACTTATATGAATTATCTAAAATAGTGAAACTCATAGAAGCAGAGAATAAAATGATGGTTTCCAGGGATTGAGAGGAAGGGGAAACAGACAATTGTTAAAAAAAAAATTGTAAGACACTGAAGAAAGAAATTGAAGAAGATACAAATAAATGAAACATATACTGTGTTCATGGACAGAAAGAATTAATATCATTAAAATAGGCATACTACCAAAAGCAATCCCTATCAAAATACCAATGGCATTTTTTAAAGAATGAATAATTCTAAAATTTATATGGAACCACAAAATACCCTGAAGAGCCAAAGAACACTTAAGAAGGAACAAGGTTGGAGGTCTTGTGCTACCAGATATCAAAATATACTATAAGTCTATAGTAACAAATGGCATGACACTGGCATAAAAAGCAGACATATAAATCAATGGAACAAAATAGAGAGCCCAGAAATAAACTTACACCACCAAAAAACTACTTGACCTAACAAGTGAATTTAGAAAAATAACAAGATACAAAGTGTATATTCAGAATTGAAGGCATTTTTTATACACCAACAACAAAATATCAGAAACAGAAATCAGGGGGGAAATCCCATTTTCTAAAGCAACAAGAGAAATAAAGTACCTAGAAATAAACCTAACCAAGGAAGTAAAAACCTGTACTCAGAAAACTACACAACACTAAAGAAAGAACTTAAGGAAGACATAAATAAATGGAAGCATATACCATTTATGCATAATCCATGTTCATGGATTGGAAAATTTAACATCATCAAAGTGTCCATACTACACAAAGCAATTTGTAGATTCAATGCAATCCCTCTTAAAATACCAATGACATATTTCACAGATATAGAACAAACATTTCAAAAATTTATGTGGAACCATAAACAACCTTGAATAACCACAACAATTTTGAGAATGATGAACGAAGTAGGAGGGATCACAATACCTGATATAACACTATACTACAAGGCCACAGCAATCAAAACAGTCCGGTACTGGCATAAGAATAGACACATAGATCAGTGGAACAGAATAGAGAGCCCAGGCATAAACCCATGTCTCTATGGTCAATTACTATTGTACAAAGGAGGTAGAAACATAAAATGGAGTAAATATAGCCTCTTCAACAAATGATTTTGAAAGATCTGGACAGCTACATGCAAAAAATGAAACTTGACCAACTTACCCCATTCACAAAAATAAATGCATGATGGATAGAAGACTTAAATATAAGCTGTGACACCATAGAAGTTTTAGAGGAAAACATAGGCAAGAAAATTTCAGATATTCTATGCAGCAATGTTTTCACCAATATGTTCCATAGAGCAAGGGACATGAAGGAAAGAATAAACAAATGGGACTTCACCATAGTAAAAAGCTTCTGCACAGCTAAAGAAAACATCAGTAAAATGAAAAGGGAACCAACTGTACTGGAAAACATATTTGCCAATGATACCTCAGACAAGGCTGTGATCTCCAAAATATATAAAGAACTCACATGACTCTACACCAGGAAGACAAACCACCCAATTGAAAAATAGGCAAAGGACCTGAACAGACACTTCTCCAAGGAGGACATACACAGGGCCCAGAGACAGATGAACAGATGCTCAGCATCACTAGCTATCAGAGAGATGCAAATTAAAACCACAGTGAGATACCACTTCACACTAGTCATAATGGGCATCACAAACAAATCGACAAACAACAAGTGCTGGTAGGACGTGGAGAATAAGGAACCCACTAGTACACTATTGGTGGGAATGCAGACTGGTGCAGCCACTGTGGAAAACAGTATGGAATTTCCTCAGAAAACAAAAAATGGAACTGCCTTTTGGCCTGGCATTTCCACTACTGGAATTATATCCTAAGAACCCTGAAACACCAATTCAAAATAACTTATGCACCCCAATGTTCATAGCAGCTCAATTTCCAATAGCCAATTAGTGGAAGCAACCTAAGTGCGCATCAGTAAATGAGTGGATAAAAAATATATGCTATATTTACACGATGGAATACTATGAAGCAGAAAGAAAGAAGGAGTTCCTACCCTTTGCAATAGCATGGGTGGAACTGGAGAGGACTATGCTAAGTTGAAATCAGCTAGGTGATGAAAGACAAATACCATATGATCTCACCTACAAGAGGAACCTAATCAAGAAAACAAGCAAGCAAGCAAAATATAAACACAGACACAGAAATAAAGAAAATCTGACAGTAACCAGAGGTGAGGTGGAGGGGTATAATGGGAGAAAATAGCCAAGGGTTGTCAAGGAACACATAGAAAAGATACATGGACAAACCAAAGAGGGTAGGATTGAGTGTGGGAGGTGGACGTGCATGGGGTGAGGGAGAGTGGCAGGTGGAAAATGTGGACAACTGTAGTTGAACAACAATAAAAAAAGGTTCAGGAAGCAATACTTACATCAGACTATACAGACTTTAAAACAAAGGCTATAAGGAGAGACAAAGAAAGACATTTCATATATAAGATCCAAGATATGGAAGCAACTTAAGTGTTAGACAACTGGATAAAGAAGATATGGTACATATATACAATGGAATATTATTTGGCCATAAAGATAGTGAAATCTTATGATTTTCAACAACATGAAAAGATAAAGACCATACGATTTTACTTATACATAGAATCTAAAAAGCTAAAACAATCAAGACAGAAAGAAACTTATAGATACAGAAAACAAACTGAAGGTTGCCAGATGGGAAGGAGGTTAGGGAGCTGGGTGAAAGAAGGTTAAGGAATTAAGAAGTACAAAGGCATAGTTACAAAATACTCACAAGTATGTAAAATAAAACCCATGTAATATAGTCAAGAATATTGTAATAAGTATGTATGGTGCCAGGTGAATACTAGATTTTTGGAGGAAAAGGGCCACTTCATGAGTTATTTAAGTGCCTAGTCACTATACTGTACACCCGATACTAATATAATAAATCCTTGAGTGTCAACTGTAATTGAAAGAATCCCTAAAACAGGTAAATATCAAAACTTGCATTTGAACTTGCCCAGAATTTGCATCTGATAGTCAGATCTTTCTCAAAACTTACTGTGGGAAAAGAAATGTGAGAAACCAATAAACTATAATGACAAGTTTTTTTTTTCCAGCTGGAAAAAGTTGTTACATTTCTCTAAATCTGTTTACTTAAATTAAAATGTACAAATCAAGTCTTTCATCAAAAAAAAAATCTTGCCTTCTATTCCTGTCTTTTTGTTCCCAGTGGAAATTACTACCCTGCACTAGTTTTTCTCTCCTAGGCTAAAGCAGCGTTTCATTAATTTTGAAATTTCTTTACTTTTCATTGGTCAAATATGAATATCCAGTATTCACGAATGAAGGACTGGTGTCAGGATTTGGAGGAAAATATTACTATTACAAAGCGAAGGTTGTAGTTGAATACCTGGAGGATTTTTACCTTCAAGGTAGCAGCACAGTTTTCTGTGGATCTAACAGTTTATGGAACTGTTAGATGAAACTGTTAGATGGAGCCTAAGATGCGAAAATATATTAAAGGTACAAAGGTGTCTTCTTCCTTCTTGTTTTTTTAAAGATTTTATTTCTTTGACATTAAAAATCAGTGACACAGAATAATTGAAAAGAAGCCATTTTAGTAACTAACTCTATCTTGTATTCATTTCCATGACAGGTAGTACATACATTTTACAAAGAATTCTGCTGTTGTTATTTGTATGTTTCCATAGGATCTTAGCATGTTCTGTACATCACACATTTTTAACTGCAGATGAACTTTGAAATCATTTAGTAAGCCTACCTATATTTTTAATTTGAAGTAGAATCACATTAAACTCATAGGCTAATTTTAACAATACACTAATGACAAACTTGTTTGCAATTCCAAGAGTGTTATAGAAATTATTACTGGTCAGAAAGAAAATGACAATGATATTGAATGTAAATTCATAATATTTTATACTTTTTAATGATAAACATTAAGATAATTTATAAAAGAAAAAAATGAAATTGTAAGAGGTTTTTACAAAGGCTTTATTGTCTTTATGTTTTTTTTACTTATTTCCATTTTTCTTTTAGGACATTCCACTACCAGTAATAAATCACCATCTAAAGACATTGAGGATTTCGGTATTACTTTGGTTATTAATGACTATACATTATGAGACCTTAGAATTCTACATGAAAATATGATAACTAAATTATGTCTAGTTAAAGAAGAAGCAATCTGACACAAATGAATGATAATTGATATTGGTAATTTAATAATGCAGATACCATGACAAATATAAGCACTAGTATGCATAGATACATATAGATAATACAGTCTTTAGAAGATGCCTTAAGTAAGGATTCCTAATAGGGTGAGGTAATTTTCTCAATTGCTGTGTAGCTTAAAATTTATACAAGATAACATGCTTTTGTGATGGCAGTTTATAGATTAATTTTCTTTCTGTTGATATCTTATATATGGAAGCCTTAAAGTATTTTAAGTAGGGTTAGTTGCAGGCTCACAAGTCCATGCAATATATGTTAAAGGAAATTATACAGTTTTACAGAAATAAAATATAAATATTTCTAGATGAGTAAAAGAAAGAAAAATATTTATTGCTGTTTTACATTAGATTTGCTTAGTAAGGTAATCTTTTAATAAAATGTACTTCAGGTTTGTCATGTTTTTTCCTCTGAACAACACTGTGATCAGACTGTCATCTGCCAGTAAATCCAGTGCCATCCTAAAACATTAAACACTTGATAATTTTTATAAAAGGAAAAGAGCAGAAGAAAACATAGTATCATATGCTTTGACTTAGAGAAATTTAATAAAAGTTGTGGCAACTTAGAAGCAGAGATACTACTGACCAACATTTGTAAGGATTAAAATTCTATAGTGTTATTTCTCTCTGGATAGCCAAAAATGCAAGCTTAAGTTTCTAAGCATAATTTCTTCCATGTGCCCTGCTGTTTCATTTACATTCTTAGAATCTCCTTAATAAGTATGACTATGTTTTATAGTTCTTTTGGAGGAAGATATAAGGAGGGGTTGATGATAAGGTCAAATATCATTTGTAAAGACTGCAGATTGCACCTGTGTGATAGGTTAAAGAATTTCATCACAACTTATTTCACAGATCCACTTTTGTTGGAAAAAAAATAAACTCCTAATAAAATAATAAGAAATTGTAGATTAAATGCTAAACTAAACCAAGTATAATAAGATAATATGTTTTTAAAATGATTTTTCTCTAGTGAATTCTGATTGTTCTAGTAGTAAACTTTACTCAGTAACCTGGTGTGGTAGCTACACCAGGTAGCTACAAGGGTTCTGTGACCAAAATGAGCTTCATGCACTACCAGTGACACTAAACTAGATTGGTAAACTTTTTCTCTGCTGTAGTCTATAGATTATCTGATGAACTAAAATGTATTTGCTATCTGGAGACTCACATGTGCTCAATTATCTTCAAACAAGTTTTAATTTTTTTTTCTCAGATAGAGGAACCATTTAGTGATTATTCTTACAGTAAGTGTCCCAAACTTGGATTGCACTTAAATCAAAATATTATTGTGAAGAAGTGCATCAATTAAAATTTTTTTATTTATTGATTTTTAGAGAAAGAGAGGGAGGAAGAGATGTATGTGCTCTGACCAGGGATCCAACTCACAATCTTGGTGTATTGGGACAATGTTCTAACCAACTGAGCTACCCAGCCAGGACAAAATGCATTCATTACTTTTTAATGATGTACAAACTTTTCAGTTTCTATAGTTTTTATATCTAGAAATTAAATAAACCAGTCTAGAAAAACCTCACCTTTTCTAGATATACTACCTTATGTTGGTAATTGTATATTCTTTTGTATTCCATATTTTCATTTAGTAATGAGCCTCGAATAATACATATTTTTAATATGATTAGTCATAATATGATTATGATTTGGGGTGAGTTTTCATCCCAAATATACTTTGGATGTTTTTCTAAATTTAAAATGAACTCCTGTCTGACTTACTATGGACTATTTAGGTGATTCCAGAGATTTGGACTTAGTAAAAAGTCCAGATAGAATATAAATGTATATGTGTTTAAATAAAATAATATTTCTTCCAACTAAAATGTAACCAACATTAATTTCTTCTGCTAGATTTTGAAACCTGGTATTAGTTTTTAGAGTTAAATATCATTTGTTTCCTGATTTCTTGTAGTTCCTGGTCTTGTGGAAATTGGCACCAGCATGTACAAATATCCTAACATCAGGAAGACAGAGTAAATTAAACTTGTTTCTTGAGTACATTGGTGCTTGTCACTTGTGGTATACTTTTGTGCAGCCTTAGTTTTCATTCTGTGTTGCATGTTGCCTTGTTTAAAAATGTGCCTATGTGAGTGTGCTGTCAGAATTGTACTTCTTGCTAAAAATATTTTAACTACTTTTAATATTATAATAAGTAATCAGCGTAGAGTTACTTTAGCTATTATGACTGTAAGAAAATTTCTGTAGTGTTTGAGGTTTAAGTTCTGCAGAAAATTATGGATCATTAAAGAACCTATAACCTAGAATGATTTAACTGCTAAATGTATCATTCAGAATTGTAGGAAAGATGAAGTGTTTCCTGGACAAGCAAAAACTAAAGAAGGTCATCACCATTAAAGGAGCTTTACAGGAAATGTTAAAGGGTTTTCTTTCAGAAAAAAAGGAAAGACCATCACAGAAATTTTAAAATAAAACAAAGAAAAAAATCATAAGCAATGACAAATATTTAACAAAAGCAGTAAATCAGACATTTACAAAGCTCAAAAGTTCAAAAGACAAAAGTTCCAAACTCAACTTCAGAAAGTAGGAGATACACAAAACAAAAAGATCTAAAATATGTTATCAAAATCATAAAGCATAGATATGGGAATAAAAATGTAGTCTTTTTTAGAATATATTGAAATATAAATGCCTATCATTTTTAAATGGATTGCTATAGATCAGTGATTTTCAACTGGTGTGTCACAAGAACTTCGGTAAAACATGCAACACCTGACTATTTAGTCAGGGTCACTGACCTCTTTTCCCTTAGATGGTGAAATAAAAAAATGATGACACCCAACACAGTAAGAGCTGTCCGGTGTGAATGAATCAAATTTACACCTCTTTTTTGTTAGATCAGCAAAAAATATATTTTTAGGTGTGCTGCTAAATTTAGCAATTAGTTTATGTGTGCTGTGAGATGAAAAAGATTGAAAATCACTGCTATAGATATGGAATGATATACATTAAACTCATGGTAATGACAAACCAAAAACCTATAAAAGATACACAAAGAAGAAAGAGAAAATAACCCAAAGAAAACCAGCATTAGGTCAGGGACCAAAAGAAGAACAGAAGAAAACTACAAAAACAACCAAAAACAATGAACAAAATAATAAGTACACACTTATTGATAACTCTAAATGTAAATGGATTAAATGCTTCAACACAGAGTTATAGTGTGGCTGAGTTAAAAAACATGACCCATCCACATGCTGCTTGCAAAACACTGCACATGAAAGACTCATACAGATTGAAAGTGAAGGGATGGGAAAAGATATCACATGCAAATAGCAACAAAAAAAAGCCAGCATAACAATACTCATATCAGACAAAATACATTTTAAAACAAAGAATGTAAAAAGAGACAAAGAAGGATATTACATAAATATAAAATGATGATGAGGACATAACAATTATAAATATCCATGCATCCAATATATGTTGCTAAATACATAAAGGAAATATTAATGGACATAAAGGGAGAAACTCATAGTAATACTGTAAAAGTGTTGGGTATCCCACTCACATGAATGGATATATCATACAGCAGAAAATTAGTAAGAAAATTCTCTTAAATGTCACATTAGAACATACTGACTTAATAGACATTTGTAGAATATTTCATCCAAAAACTAGAATACAAAGTTTTTAAAGTACATATGAAACATTCCCTATGGTATATCACATATTAGGACAGAAAACAAGCCTCAGTAAATTCAACAAGATTGAATTCATATCCAGCACAGTTTTTGACCAGTGTCATAAAACTAGAAATTGATCAACCACAGAAAGAAAACTCAAACAAAACCCCCACAAATATGTGAAGACTAAATAATATGCTACTAAACATCAAATGGATCAAAGAAGAAATCAAACAGAAGATAAAAAATACCTTGAGAAAAATAAAACTGAAACACAATCTTTTGAAATATATGAGATGGAGCAAAAGTGGTTCTAAGAAGGAAAGCTTATAGCCATAAAGGCCTACATCAAGAACCAAGAAAAATTTCCTGGCTGGCATAGCTCAGTGGATTGAGCGTGGGCTGTGAACCAAAGCATCAAAGGTTCGATTCCCAGTCAGGGCACATGCCTGGGTTGCAGGCCACGGCCCCCAGCAACCGCACATTGATGTTTCTCTCTCTCTTTCTCCCTCTCTTCCCTCTCTAAAAATAAATAAATAAAATCTTTAAAAAATATTAAAAAGAACCAAGAAAATTTAGAAATAAACAATCGAACTTTACAACCAAAGAAACTGAAAAAAGAACAAACAAAACCCAAAGTAAACAAAAGGGAAGAAATTATAAAAATCAAAGTGGAATAAATGAAATAGAAATCTTTTTATAAGACAATAGAAAAAATCAATGTAACTAAGAGCCGGTTCTATGAAAAGATAAAGATAAAGAAAACTGATAAATCTTTAGCCAAACACATCAAGGAAAAAGAAAGGGCCCAAATAAAAATAATAGTAAATGATAGGGAAGTTACAATGAACACCACAGAAATACAAAGAATCATTAAAGAATTTTACACAAAATTATTTGCAAACAAACTCCATGATATAGAAGAAATAGAAAAATTGCTAGATGCATATGACTTGCAAAGACTGAACTAGAAAAAAATCTAAACAGACCAATTATTGGTAATGAAATTGAAGCAGTGGTCAAAAGTTCTCTCAACAATTATAGTCCAGGATGAGACCAATTCACGGGTGAAATTCTTCCAAACATTTAATAAAGAATTAATACCCATCATTCTTAAACTGTTTCAGAAAATATCAAAAAGGAAGAAATGCTTCCAAACTCATTCTACAAAATCAGTGTTACCCTAATACCAAACCCAAACTAAGACATGCAACTGATGAACATAGGTGCTAAAGCCCTCAACAAAATATTAGCAAACCAAATACAACAGTGCATCAAAAAGATCATACACCATGATCAGGAGGGATTCCTTCCACAAATACAAGATTGGTACAACATTTTCAAATCAATAAATATGATTCACCACATAAACAAAATGAAGGATAAAAGCCACACACTCATATCAATAGATGCAGAAAAAGCATTTGATAAAATCCAGCAACCATTTATGATAAAACTCTTAGCAAAATGGGAATTGAGAGAACTTCCCTAAACATGATTAAGGTTGTATATGACAAACCAAAGCCAGCATCATACTCAATGAGGTAAAGTGACAAGCATTCCCCCCGAGATTAAGAACAAGATAGGGATGTCTGCTTTCACTTCTCTTGTTCAACATAGTAGTAGAAGTCCTAACCATAGCAATCACACAAGAAGAAGAAATAAAAGGCATTCAAATTGGAAAAAAAGAAGTAAAACTATGTTTATTTGCAGATGGATGATATTCTACATAGAAAACCCTAAAGAGTCCACCAAGAAACTACTAGAACTGATAAATAAACTACTCAGCAAAATAGGATATAAAGTTAATATCCAGAAATCCATTGCATTTTTATTTTATTTTTAGTTCAAAAGTCTTTTTTTAATTTTAATTGTTGCTCAAGTACAGTTTTCTGTCTTTTATTTCCATCCCAGCCCACCCCTCCAGTACTCTCCACCTCCCTCCCACTTCTACCCCCCTAGTTTTTGTCCATGTGTCTTTTATACTTCTTCCTGTAAACCCTTCCCCTTTTCCCCTGAAATTCCACCCCCTCTCTGCTCTGGTCATTGTCATCCTGTTCTCTGTTTCAGTGTCTTTAGTTATATTTTGCTTGTTTGTTTGTTTTGTTGTTTAGGTTCCTGCTAAAGGTGAGATCATATGGTATTTCTCTTTTGCATTTTTATATGCTAATAATGAACTATCAAAAGGGAAATTAAGAAAACAATTTCATTCACAATTGCTTCAAAACAAATACAATACCTAGGAATAAATCTAACCAAGGATGTAAAAGACTTGTACTCAGAAAATTATAAGACACTGAAGAAAGAAGTTGAAGAAGATACAAATAAGTGGAAGCACATA